TAATAATAATAATAATACAAATCTCTTTATTAGTTTAAGCTCTAATCTGAAGTTGCATGCCATCTCCCTCTCTCTCGCGCTCGTCCTGCCTTCTCCACATACATTTTGGGCCACTTGATAAGCCGCAAGATGGCGCCAAGCGAGGCGACTTCGTTAGGTTAGAGGGGGGTAATGGCAGCTGTTGCTGCTGCTGCGGCTGCGGCTGCTTGTGAGGCCCACTTAAGGGGCGAGGCAAACTTGGAGGCTGGGCGGGCGAACAGGGCAATGATAAAAGAAGTGACAGAGTCTGTGGTAGGGAGACGGCTGCTGCAGGGAGAGGAGGAAAAGCAGGAGAAGGAGGAGGAGGAAGAGGCATGCAGCACTCAGCAGCAGCAGCAGAAGCATCAAATGAAAGCCCAACAAGTCAGTGGCCAAATGGCTGACGTTCACTTTTTCGCCTGTAGAGTGAGTGCATTGCTTTGTGTGTGTGTGTGTGTGCCTGTGTTTGTATGCGCAAATCAAATTAACAAGCACAATTGGCTTAAAAAATAATACGTAATACGCGCGCAAGTAACATGAAGCACATGCACACACACACATGCACGCTCACTCACACACACATACGCACTTCAATTAAGTGCAAATATGGCGCAGTCTGCGCACAGCTTGAAAAAAAAAGCGTTCGGGAATGGCAACGGGAGATTGTTGAGTGACTGCCGCTGCAAGCACAATGTGTGCGAGCGAGGAGAGTGAGGGAGAGAGAGAGCCGAAAGATAGGAAGAGCGAGGGAGAGGGGATTTTTGGGTCTTTGGCACTCAGCGGCGAGGCAATCATTAGCAACAGCGCGACGACACGACGACAAGAGCCAAGGATACGAATGCGAAATGCGAAATGCGACTCACGATGAGTGCAATTTTGAAGGGGCTGCTGTGACGGCGAGGCGGGAGGGAGGCGCGGCTCACAATGTCGACAATGGCAGCCATGCAAATACATGCAGACAACTGCAGCAGCAACAACAGCAACAACAACAAATCGAAGCCACCATTAAAAGTTCGCTTCGCTTTCGCGGCGCTCGTTCTCGTTCTCGTTCTCGTCCTCGTTGTGGATTGTTTTTGTTTTTTTGCCTGCCGTTTTTAATTGCATTCCATTTTGTATGTGCGTTCCGCTGCCACTCTCACTATGCGTGTGTGCATTTTCGCCCCTGTGCTTGTTCTTGTTGTTGCTGTTGCTGTTGCTGTTGTTTTCTTTTTCTGCCTTTCTGTGTCGCTGTCAGCTTATTTTTGCTCATAGCTGTAAAAAAGCAAGAAGCATGGCCGAGCGAAGCATGCTTTCTCGCTCGCTCGCATGCAATCTCTCGCCTCTCTCATTGCTCTCTCGCACTCAGCCTCTCTCTGTCTGGCCCTCGTTTCGGCAATGGCCGGCTGGCCTCTGCCTGTGTGTAACGGGAATTAACGAAATTTGCGCGCTGTCAAAAGTGAACGAAACTGACAGGCGACAATAGTGGCGAGAATGTTTTTAGCTAACTGCTGCTAATGAGCTTTGCATCGTCGATTAGCCACTCTGTCCGGGTGCAGCGCTCAGTTCGTCTGCGCCTCGCTCGTCGCCTGCTCGCTCGGCTAGTGTCAGCGTGTGTGCACGAAATGGATGGCACGACAAGGATGGCAGATGCATGACACCACATCATTGTTTCACACACACACGCACACATACTCTGCAATTGGCTCTCAGGCTCAGTGACTCAGTTCCGTTCGACTGCTCCATTTGTGCCGTTGCTGGCTGGCTAGCTGACTGGCTGGCTCATTGTTTCTTTTTGCTAATTTCAACACGCTCTCGTCCACAGTTTTAAGTACACTTTAGCAGAAGCGTATGAAAAACATTAAAACAAAAACCAAAAAAAAAAAAAAAATACAACAATGCAAACAAATTGCAAATGCATTAAAGCCGCAAATTGCATTCAGCCATGCACTCAACCGCCTGTTGCAATTGCCCAGCTGAGGCACAATGAGGCAACTCTCAAAACAAATCGCTCAAGCACCAACAATTTCGCCTACTCTAATAAATACACACACACACACACAGAGAGAAGCACGCACTCCTTGCAGCTCTATTGATTAAGAAATGAGCTGTTCAAGCAGTTATCGATCTGTTATGATCGATAAGAGAGCAAAGCTCGCTCTCTCATTTCACATTTGCATTGGCTTTCCCTTCATTTGGCTGCTGCTGCTGCTGGCTTTCCTTGATTATGCTGTCGCCCTTTCCAATCAAAAGTGTTACAAATGTTTTGCATTTCATTTATTTTTTTTTTTTCTTGCTCCTATTTCTGCTGTTGTAGATTTTTTGCATAATTTGCAGTGCTCAGCCGCGTTTGTACATTAATTATACACTTTACACTGTCCGTCCCGTAATTTTTGCATTTTCGCTGCGTTTTTAATGAGCTGTTAATACACACCCTCTCGCACATACACTGCGCGAAATAGTGTGTGCTAAAAATGATTATGCATAATTATGTAATTAACATTTAAACAAAGGAGGTTATGGCTGTGAAACAAAAGCATTACACAAATTGCTATTTGCATTCCCTTATTTGTTGTCCCTCTCAGTTTGCGCGCGTTCCATTGAAACGGCAGCACGACTAACAGATACTGCGTAACTGCTTCGAATATGTGAAATGTGCTTATAGACAAGATTCGAATTATATATGTAGGCTATTATTGAACTAAAAGTGGGTGAAACTCTCTGTAAGTATGCATATGCATATGCATATATATATATGCATAAATTACAGGGTATTACAAATAGTTTGTGTAATACAATTATTCAATCAGTAAATAGAATAGTTTCAGTATAGCTCATTTCCATTCATTTCCTTTGCCCCCGCCCAGTTTCATTTCAAGCTACCCCAGCTGCGCCCTTTACAGGGTATCTCATTGCATGGCAAAACTAACAGATGATTAAATAAAAAGCTTGCCGCACTTGTTAGCATTTGTCCCAATCCCAAACGCATTATATCATTACCAATCGACCAACCCCGCCCCCGCCCCCCGCCCACTTATTCCACTGTTTTGTTCTCCTCTTTTTACATTGTGGCAACACAAAAACAAGTTGCGCGAACTAGGCGCATTTTAAAAAGACATTTATCAGCGCATTAGCCACACTGATTGAGTTCCACCCCGCCCACAGGCTGAGGGCGGCGGGCGGTGGGGTTGGTTGGCTGGGCTCAGTTTGGGTTCGGTTTGGTGTTAAGTGTTGTCAACTCAAGCAGATTTAATTTGCCATGTTTGCCGCTGCTGCCCGAACTCTCAAGTGCAGCCGGCAAACACGGCTAAACAACTGTAAATGCAAATGTTGACATCACACCAACAGCAACAGCAAGAACAACAATAACAACAACAACAACAACTGTAGCAATTGAAATAGGAATACCCTCGCTTTCGGTTAGACAGCGAGCCGCGTGGCAGGCGGATTTAATGCGACCGCCGTCGACTTCTATTTTTATGGTCCACAGAGAATTGCAGCAGGACACAGACAGAGAGAGGGTGAGGGAGAGAGGGGGGTGGAGGGGGATGGAGAGAGAGAGAGAGTGTACAAGAGTTAGAGCGTTGCTATCTACCCTGGGAAAGCTTGAACATTTCACAACAGAAGATTAAGTTGTCCCAAGGGACACACACACACACACACACATATACACACGCAGCTCACATACACACAGCACACACGCCCACTTTACAAGTTGTCTGTGAAAATTGAAAATTGACCGTTTAACAGCAGCAAAGCAAAACGAAAGCAAAGCTGCTTGCAACATTTCGTGGCACTAATAAGTACTTGAGCAGGAGCAGCAGCAGCAGCAGCAGCAGCAGCAGGAGCAGAGTGGATAAAATCAGCGCGTGTTGCTGCTGGTGCCACGCCCCAGCGAGGGCTGAGCGAGCTGCTGCGTGACAAGTGGCAGCGGCTCACACTCAGGCTGGAGGCCTCGTTACAGTTGCGCGCAAACAAACAACAAAATAGACACTGCCACGCCCCCTGCCCCCGCTCCCCATCTAACTGCCCAGCCACCTCCCCTGGCAGCCCTCGAGAGCTAATAGATGTTGTTCTAGTTGTTGTTACATTTAATTTAATTAGTTTTGGCTGCTTTGCTGCACTTTAGCCAGCGAGCGAGCGAGTTGTAGTGTGTGTGTGTATATATATAAAGTATATACATATATATCAGCATTTGTGAGAGCGGCTTAGCTCTTGCTATTTATGCTTAATTATCGCATTTGCACTAATGAAATTTTTGCTATTTGTTTGGCTGAGAGTTGGGATAATCCCAGAAAGGATTAGCTGAAGTTCGCAGTTGAGCAGAGCGCGCAATGTGCAATGGGAATGATTGAAGCACAGACTGACTGATTGATAGAGTCAAAGTTGGCTAGGTAGCCAACGGATTGACTGATGGACTGAACTGCTCGAATGGTTATTATTGACATGCCATAAATTGGCTGATTGACTGATTGACTGACTGTGATTGATAGACTACCAGAACAATTGATTGAAGGACTCTGATTGATGTTCTACAAGATTGCTTAAGTGACTTTAATTGGTTGACTGCTTAACTATTTGAATGTGATTGATGAACTCTCTACGGATTGACTGTGATTTAAATGCCATCTGGTTAGCTAATGACTGATTAAACAGCTTATTGAGATTTATTGATTAATAGATTGATTGACTGGCTGAAAGATTGAAGTACTCACTGATTGACATACTTCCTATTTAATTGATTGGCTGACTGTGATTGATATGCTGCTAGATTGATGAGTTGACTATGCGTAACTGTTAAACGGCCTAAAAGTTTGGTTGACTGACTGTGATTGAGCTACTATGTGGTTGACTGACTGAATTGATTGACAAACTACATGTAATTGACGAGCTAATTGACTAGCACATTAAATACATGACTGATTGATTGACAGTGATGGACTAGCTAATTGATCAACTCACACTGATTGATGCATGATTGACCGATCGACTGATTGATTGACAGTGATTGACTAGCTAATTGATCAACTCAYACTGATTGATGCATGATTGACCGATCGACTGATTGATTGACTAATTCACTAGCTAGTTCATAGACAGACTGATCAACTGACTGAATGTCTTTATCAGATTCATTACGTTCTTGACTAATGATTGACTGATTGACGCATCAACTTAAAATCCATTCTCAGCCGTGGCTCTTAGCCTAGCTCATACCTAAATCAACTCGATAAGTCTCGTATGTTTCAAGCTATAGTCTTGCATCTCTTTCACACACTGGAGAATCCGTTTGCTAATAAATTCACTTTGCTCTTCTCTCTCTTTCATCATTGCAGGTGTGGTACCAGAACCGTCGGGCCAAGTGGCGCAAGACCGAGAAGTGCTGGGGCCACAGCACAAAGATGGCCGAGTATGGGCTGTACGGGGCGATGGTGAGGCATTCGCTGCCGCTGCCGGAGACAATCATCAAGTCGGCCAAGGAGGACGAGTCCGTGGCGCCCTGGCTGCTGGGCATGCACAAGAAGTCGCTGGAGGCCGCCGAGCTGCTGAAGAGCGACGAGAGCGACAGGGAGACGCCCACCTCGGATGATACGAACACCTCCTACTCGGCGGGCAGCACCCATAACTCGCCCATCTCCAGCTTCTCGATATCGCGTCTGCTGTTCGATGCGCCGCCGCCGCCGTCAGCGGGCGGCAACAAGCAGTCGAAGCACGCCCATGCCCACGCCCATGCGGCCGCTGCCCATGCGCACGCCCATGCCCACGCACACGCCCACATCGCAGCGGCGAACGCGGCTGCAGCGGCCGCCGCCGCGGCCCACCAGCACCACGGCGATGCAGCAGCCGCTGCCGCCGCCGCAGCAGCAATGCACGCGGGCATGCACCATCACCATCATCACCATGGGCAGGCGGCAGTGGCCGCCGCAGCAGCCACTGGGCAGCAGCACCATCCATACAACCAGCAGCAGCATCTGCACCATCTGCAGCAGCTACAGCAGCAGCAGCAGCAACAGCAGCAGCAGCAACAGCAGCAACAGCAACAGCAGCAGCAGCAGCAGCAGATGGCCGAGCAGCAGCAGCAGGCGGCGGTGGTGCAGCATGCGATGCACATGCACCACCATGGCACCGCTGGCTATGCCGAGGCGGCCGTGGCTGCGGCTGCTGCTGCTGCGGCCGTTGCTGCTGCCGCGAACGCTCGCAATGCGGCGGCCGCTGCTGCTGTTGCTGCCGTTGCTGTGGCCGAGTCGGAGCCGGACGAGGAGATCGACGAGGACGAGGACATGGAGAAGGACTGCGACGCGGATGTCGATGCGGATGTGGATGCGGAGGCCGACAACGATGCGGATGTCGATGGGGATGCGGACGCCGATGGCGAAATCGACATCTGCGACGACGAGGACGAGGCGCAGACGCTGGCGCATCAGCAGCTGCTGCTCAAGGTCAAGCAGGAGCACCTGAGCGGCGGCGGCGGCGGCGCGGTGGGCGGGGCAGGTGGCATGGAGGGCGGCAGCAGATGAAATATGTACATCGATGTCTTGTTCTAAAGCGAGAAACGGCGAGAGAGAAAGCGAGAAAGGGAGAAGGAGAGGGAGAGCGAGAAGTATTTATTGAGCAGCAGGAGGAGGCGCAGGAGCAGTCGGCAATGTTAATTTTCTAAGCATAAATCTAAATAATTTAATTAAATCTATATATATACATATGTATATCGATATATTTAACTCGATAACAAATTTTTTTCATATACCTAAGAAACGCAACAACTAAAAAAAAATTAAAAACAAAAAAAGACAAAATAATAAAAAAAAATACATTCATCTAACAAATATACATAAAAAACAAAAGCAGCCAAATTAATGAAAGGCTCTTTGCTCTCGTTCTCTCTCTCTCTCTCTCTCTCCCTCTCTGTGAGTTTAAGTCGCAGAGCTTATGAAAAAATAAGGTTAATTACCCTTTGAATATTAGCTTAAAATGCACTAAATAAATACTACTTGCTTTGACACAAGTTTACTTTACTTACTTTGCATATGCTGACTAAGATATATGTATATAAGCTTGTTTTTCATTTACCTTAAATTAGCTCTATTCAAATTGCTGCAAGTACTTTAAAATTGTCCAACCATTTGCGCGTTACTTGTAAAATATTTCTGAAATCTGCATGAGCAACAAATATTGTGAATTATGCATAAATATTTGGAGCCAATGATTGGGCTCGAGTCGGGGGAGCAATGAGCACAAACGGCTCGGCCAAGGGCCCCCAGAGGCCTTCACACAGGCAGCAAACAGCTGTGCAAGAGTAACAACAACAACAACAACAACAACAACAGGCAAAGGAGTTGCTAGACTTTTGCTTGAGCTGCAGTAGAATATTTTTATTTTGCATGTTGTTCAATGCTCTCGACTTCATCTACACAAATTTCTATACGTTTTGTACCATTTATTTGCATTTCGCATTTGTATGTGTGCTCAGCTTTCTCTCGACTCCCACCCCGCCTTCTGCTCCTTCCGGGAATGTGTTTGTCTTTCCGAATGTGTCCTTTAGTCATGTTTGATTTGCAATTTCGCACAATCGGCAAATCCCCAAAATTGCCAATAAATTTGTCCTATTGACTGTGTCGGACTACAAATTTCTTGCTGTTGCGCTTACTTGGGCTGCTCTGTTTCGAAAATGTGCAGAAGACTAGACTTTACATTTACAGGCGACGGCAAAGAAACAAGTGAAAGTGTGAAAGTCGAGAGTATGGGACTATATGATACTCTATTTACAGGCTTTCAATTGGTTTTCTTNATTATTAAAATGTGTCCAAAATGTAAAATGTAGTTCAGAGAAATTAAAACTCAAATTAAATGAAATTAAATTGAATCAAATTAGAATCGATCATCGATCAACGCATTTTTCATTGCACCCAAAGGCGAGTCGAGTGAACTCAGCGCGAGTCCTGATCGAATTGAGAATATGTATATGTATGTATGGTGTGTATGTATGTATGTATATATGAATACATATATGTATATGGGATACGTCAATAAGCAACGCATAGTTACATGTTTTTGCTGCAAGAAATGCCAGCATTTACGATTTATCGATTGTTATCGATTATATCGATATACTACTGCTTCTGCCTTCTTCAAATGGTGTCGATAATTATCAATGTATACACCACTTTCTGCATCTTCTTTAATTCATATTTATCGATCGATAGTTATCGATCCCTAGACTAGTTTTTCTTTTCCTCTTCAATCTGATTCATCTTCGAAAATCGTCGGCTTATGGATTCTACAATAATGTTAAATAGTTAAAATTTGGACTTGTTTTTAGCTCCAAAAATGTCATAAATATTGAAACAATTTCTTCGCTCATCTCTTGAAATATTTCAAAACAGTTCTTTCAGCTATTTCGTGAGTGTGAAAGAAATTGAGAAAAACACATCCATTAAATTAATACCATATATCATTTGATTCTGAGTCTGAATCAGGCAACAGAGAAACAGAGAAAACGGAAATTGGAGAACCAAATTAGCCGAGTTTTGAATTCTTATCCTTTTTATCAATTATAAACAGCAATAACAAGCAAACACATAAAATACAAATGATAAATATATATATGAAAGTTTGAAGAAAATAAATGCAATTTAATTAAAAACATAAAAAATTGGTTTCACTTCATGGAATACATAATAAATGCCCAGTAAAAATGGCTAAAATATGCTGAGCTCTTACAAGCATGTAATGGACAAATATGTCGAATGATATTTGTATTATTGTTTTGACATTTCCTATACTCTATTATTATTATTTTTTAAACATAAATTTGAATTTTGCATTTGAAATTGGTGTTTGGCGCGAGTATAACAGTTTTACAGCGCCATCTATGTGTTAGCTTGCTTTAGAAATGCTGGCAGCACTTGACACATTTGGCATTTATAAGACATAGATGGCGCCCTAAAGGCAAACAAAGTGACGCACAGCTGTCGCCAGTTGTGCCTCATTAATAAACAAACTAGTCAATTTAACTTATCTGTAATTATTTTGATAATAAAAATAGACTAATTTGCTGTACGAAATTAAAAAAAAAAAAATTAAACAAAATACTACATAAATTAAAATATTTGATAATGAACCATTTGACTTGTCTACGCTGAGGTTCGAACCACAACCCCAAACAGCATTTGTTGAATGAGGTACTGCAGTTGTTGCCCCAAACCTGAAGCTGACTTTGGTGCTGAACGTTAGACTGCGTGTATAGTGCCAATGTCATATTTATACAGACATGTTAGCGCGGCTGTATAGCTTCGAGTTCTAATCCCACCCGAGTTTGTTGTAAGATGTGTTTGGTTAGACTGTGTTATGGTGTAAGAGGTGTGTGTTGTTTCTTCTATCCTCTCTGTTCTCTTGTATTTGCCTCTTCTCACTCTCACCACCACGCACTTTGCCTTTAAAACAAAACCCCCATCGCCACGCGCCGTTTGTTCATCAATTGCAAAATGAGCGTGCCAGTGTATAAAATATACATTGTAGGGGGGATATTAAGAGTTTCTTCTCCGCAGGAAGCCGGTAAATGTCGTTGAATTTCATTTCTAGACTTCCGGTGCCAAAAGTCTGAGAAACAATTTTAAAATCTTTTTCGTTTT